GAGCCTTATTGAATAGATTTTGACTCTAGTGCTAAGGATGGTTGTTATTCATGTCAGGTGTTGTCCTTGGCATTTTCAGCACATCAGAATTTCAACAGCAACCTTTCCAAGCGCAAGTTATTGCTCCACAACAGGGATGAGGAAACCTGGGTCAGAGAGGTGACTTTGGCTCGGACAGGAGGGACAGGGTCCTGGTGGAGTGGGCTTGCTGTCTCAAGCACCAACTGTTTGTCACTTGCTGGCTTCAGGATGTCTTTCCCTACGCAAAGGAGAGTGCCCTGTACTGGGTTTTTTTTTCTTCTGATTTTGGTAATCCAGATAAAACCCAAGCCTTCATCATTAATTTTGCTCAACCTTTTGCCAAGCAGCAGGTGATTCTGAAGTGAAATTATGCTTTTATGTAAGGGTCAAAGTCTCACAGTTTAGGCCTGGCAAGATTGTTCAGTGGGTAAAGGTGCTCGTTGCACAACCCAGATAGTCTGAGTCCAGTCCTAGAACTCATGGAAGGAGAGCACTAAGTTCTAAATGCTGCCCCCCTCCATGTACACCAAAATTACAGATGATAAAAAATTAAAAAAAAAAACTCATGTTTTTATTTCTTTCCCTGTCTTGCTTTTGTACAACCAACAAGAATGTACCAAGTATGGATTCCCTTGCCATTTGCGAGAGATCTTATCAAATGTGATTTGAGAGCAGAGCCCAGTCAACTCAGGCCCAGTAGCAAGACACTCAGTAAAGTATCTGGTGATTTCCCCCAGGGGAATTTCCAGCAGTGACATAGCCTCCATCTTTACTTTTCTGCAGAAGAGGTAACTGATCAACGGAGCAGCCCTCACCCACTTCCCACCCCAGCCCCTCAAGAGGAGAACTTAGAAAGGGAGCAAGCATCTGCCATGTTGATTCCCAAGCTCCCTGCATCTGGATTGGGTCCCACATTTTCTTTTTATTTCATGCTTAGATCGTCAATTCATCTTATAATTTACCTTTTTTTCAAAATGTTTAAAAATTATTAATTGTTTAACACTATCTTTTCTCATTTTGTATACCAGCTGCAGCATTTTCAAAGTAGCAAATGGCCAGTGTTCTCCAGAGTGTGTGCTCTGCGGATGTCAGTGTCGGTCAACAACAGAAGGGTCCTGTGTGTAAGGAGCTTTGAGGAACTGCAGGTTCCTGCACAGCAGGCATCCCAGTACTTCTGTGGTCCTGATGCAGATCTCATTCTACCCGACGGGCACACTGGTTACGTTGTTGCTATCTCAGTAGATTCAACCATGTAGCTACTGTACAGGAACCTATGTTGTCAGAATCTGGGAAGTGCCACCTTAATCTTGCTTTATCAGCTCCACCTTGCCTTTGGTTGCCTCATTTTGGGCCTTTGACATTATCAGCCATTTTTATGTTCATCTCTCCTATGCTGTGAAGTCTCTGCTAGTATAGGGCATTGTCAAATCCCTGGTAGGTAGTCTTAGTATATTTGGGACATGGTGCCTTTTAGAATGTGGAGTCTAGCTTGGAAGGTAAGAACGACACACACCGATATAACTCCATTCCAGACAGCAAAAGAAAACATTTCTGATGTCTGGAAAAGAAAACTGAAATTAGATCTTGAGCACTGAAACTCAAACAAAAATCTTCTTTACATGAAGGTTGTCTTCTTTCTCCATTTCACCAAGGAGCCAAACCGGCACCGAGAGTGAAGGCGTCTTGTGGGTCAGGTTTCTGGGCAGAACTTCTGACTGCACAGCTGTCCATGACCTCTTTTGCCGCTCCGAGCCCATTGCCACATCACCTCGCTGTGGTTCCAGGAGTTCCTGAGGGCAGGCAGTGGAGGAGGAGCAGGGTGGACTCTTTCCAGATACTTAGGCTTTACAGACAAGCAGAGGACAGGCTGGTGGCACATCTACTCCATTGGCCTCCTGCCTAAGTTGGCCATGAGTTTTCTTGGCTCTTCCCAGAGTTTGTTTCTCGCTTCTGGCTATTGACAATGCAAATAAACAAAAGACCGGGCTGTTTTATCCAAAACAGCCTTAAGAGGAACCAAAATTAGCTACAAAGGCCAGAGTGAGAAGCCCTCTCATCCTTAAATAAACTTGTCGGTGCAGCCTGAGAGCCCGAGAAGAAGCTCAAATGGAGGACCTCTTCTAGCTTGGACCCCAGACTGGTTTCTTTATGGCCTTTAACAGGGTGGGTGAGGCTCTCCCACATTATGAAAGATATCTGGTTAGTCTTTGCAAAAGAAATTACCTTCTTAGAAGCATTCAGGCTAGACTAAAGCCTAGCTAAGGTGACACATACAATTGGTCACATACTCATTAGTCTCCTCTTACCTGGAGAGGGTATATTTCTTTTTTTTTGTTTTTTTTTTCTTTTTTTTTTCTTTTAGTAATTTTATTAAATTATAAAAAGTTTCCATTTACTCCCCTCCTCCCAACGCCCTCCCACTCCCCCCCTCCCTCTCCTCCTCC